TTCTTCACAGCACTACTTGATGCTAGAGTCAACATGTTTTGAATTTGCATATGGTGATTCATATCTACACACAGTATATTTAAATATACTATGTATGCAATTTTTTTGTTCTTGCTTGAAATAGCTTATAATTTCTGCATCATTATCACAATGAGCCAATCTCCATTCACAGTAATCAGACACTTTTGTTTTGCTTTTTCTCTGCCTTTGTTTAAAATTCAAAAGTACACTCATATTTCTTAAGAGTGCATAGGAAAATACTGAAGAGAGAAGCAGCCTAGAACTAAGGAGAAATTTTCAACAATGAGAACAATTAACTAATGGGACTACTTGCCTTCAGAAGTTGTAGGGGCTTCATCACTGGAGGTTATTAAGAAGATATTGGATAACCATTTGTGTGAAATGGTATAGGGTCTCCTCCTTCAGCAAGGGGTTGTACTAGAAGACTTCCAAGGTCCCTTTCAACTCAACAATTTTGTTATTCTGCTAAACCCTGCTCTGCATTGATGTGTATTTAAGTTTGGCTATAAATGTGTATTGTTCTCATTGATTTATTTTGAAATCCTGGTTAGGGAAATATTAGAACATTGTATAATTCAACAACTTATTAATGAATGAATCAATTCTACATATTTTTGAAAAAATAGTATTAGTCATATCTGATTTCTTTTTCTATGTTTTTTCAATCAAAATATATACCGTAAGTCAAGCAGTATGGCCAGGTGTAAATAAAGAGCACTATAAAATGGTAATGTTTGTTGCCTACAAGAAAACTCAGGGCAAATTAAACAAAAAACTTAATATAATGTATTTGGAAGATACTGTATATGTTTTTACAGATTTATTAAATCAATACAGATATTTTTCAAAAGATAGATTCTTTACAAAATTGGTTTACCAAAGTATTCAAACAGAATAAAAATATGCACTCTATATTATAATAATTCTTTCAAACTGCCTTCAGGGTTTCAGATAAAAACTCCAAAATAATGTCAATGTTTTAAATAGGCAAGCTATCTACAATGCACATTTTGTATTGTGTTCAAAGCACAGAATACTTAAAGTCAACTGATGATTCATGCTAAAACTCTGCAACAAATGATATCATTGCTGTTGCGTTTGGAAATATTGATTAGCCTATCCATTCACTCATGAGATATAAAACCCAGAAACACAAGTATAATTTGGAATACATCCTATTTATCTTATACCATTAGGCTTCAAGTGGTAGTAAATAGAATCAAACATAAAAGGTTTGCAGTTTACTTTTTCTTCACAAAGTATTTATTTTAATGGTAGCACTGCAATATTTGATATTCAGCATAATCCTTTCTACCATATTATATACCATTAAATATGTATTGAGTATACAATTAAATAACAATATACAATTTTAATTTCCCCTTCCCTTCCTAGTGACAATTTCTCAATTTACAGTGCATTCAGAAAGTATTCAGACCTCTTCACCATTGTCAATTTAATTATGCTGTAGCCTGAATCTGCAGTTGTTGAAATTCATTTTTTCTCTCTTTAATCTACATTCAGTACCCAATAATGACAAAGTTACACAGAATTTTAGAAATGTATGTAAATTTATTAAAAGTAAAAAACTGAAACAACCCATTGGCATAAGTACACGGACCCTTTGCAACAACATGTGAAATTTAGTTCTGGTGCCTCCCGTTTCTCTTGATCGTTGCTGACCTGTTTCTTGAATGGAGTCCACCTATGGTAAATTAAATTGATTGAACATAATCTGGAAAGGCACACACACCCCTCTCTAGAAGTTGTTGCAGCTGACAATGCATAGTGTAGCCTAACAAAAGCCATGAGGTCAAAGAAACTGCCTGCAGAGCTCAAAGACAGGATTATTTAAGGCACAGATCTGGGGAAAGCGACAATAAAATTTATGCTGCACTGAAGGTACCTAAGAGCACAGTGGCCTCCATAATTCTCAAATGGAAGAAGTTTGACGCAACCAGGATTCTTCCAAGAGGTGGCCGCCTGGACAAACTGATCAATTGGGGGAGGACCTTAGTAAGAGAAGTGACCAAGAACCCAAGGGGCTCGCTGACTGAGCTCCAGAGAGTCTATGTGGAGATGGGACAGAGTTCCAGAAAGATAACTGTCACTGCAGCCCTCCACTGATCTGGACTTTATGGCAGAGTGGCTAGACAGAAGTCGCTCCTCAGTGCAAAAGACATGAAAACCTATTTAGAGTTTGTTCCTCACAGTCTGAGTCCTCCTGGTGGTTTTTTTTTGCAAACTCCAAGTGGGCTTATGGATGCCCAATGTTTTAATGCAAGTGTAAAATAGACTGTGTTTGTGTTGTCATTTGCCCTCCCCCCAATGTCTATAAATAGAAATCATTATTTGCTATCTGACATGGTTTTATCATGAAAGTGATATGCTTACATACATCATTTATAATAACTCCCATGTGTTTTAATACAAGTAAAGTAAGAAGGAAACTATGGGCCCTGTTTTCTGCAATTGTTTGAAATAAGATTAAATCTAGGTATGTATGATGAATGATAATAACTTAACAAAAACAAGATGAAAAATAAAAACAATATATACGTCCTTGACAAATCTATTAATGCAATTCACTATTGCTTTTTTAATTGTTAGATTGTTTTGACAACACAAAATGTAACAATAAAATAGGTGTCACTTTGTATTCTCAAAAATATAGTATCCTATTCCATTCAATTAACTTCCACAATTCTGCCTAGAAGGGTTCCCATTTCCATTTATGACTTCCATAAACAGAAATATTTTATCACTTAAATTATCATTTAACAAAAAAAATCATTTGATTCTTAGCATAAATTTCTTAAGTGGGACAGGTAGATAAATTTAAAAGAAACGAGTACTAAGGCTGTCTCTTAAAGTAATTTAAGCACCCTACCAAAATCACATTGGATAAATAGCAAAAACTATGATTTATTTGGCAACAAAATTAGTAGCTGCTTATTCATCATCTGTCCTGTCTGGGTTTTTAAAAATCTATTTACCCTTATCAAAGTTTAAGAGGGAACTTAAATTGGGGAAGAAAAATTTAGAATAATAAGGGGAGAAACCCTTGGTTATAGTTACTTCTAGGTAAGATAAGTGTGGGGATGAGGATAAACTAAGTTGTAAGATAATATGTCCATATGATTCAGTCAGAATTTTAAATAGATTTGGAAAGTGTCCGTTGTGAAATCATGCTGGGGAAGATTCAAGTAGTTTCCCAAAAGTACACTGTACTTCCTTTGGGAAAGGGAACATACAAAGTTCCCTTTGAGTTGCTAAATCAGCCCTCTAATAGCCATAGAGGGAAACCTTAGGAAAACAGTGGCTATCTAACTGATAGCAGTAGAGGCAATATAAAAGAGATAAACATACTGATCTGGATCCTTATTTCCTTCCATCTGGGGAAACTTTTTGTTTCAGTGGCGCTTTTCCAGTGAATTAAGGGCAAAGATGGCATTAGATATAATCAATTATTTTGGGTTTTGATGAAGGTAATTATTGGCATAGAAAAGGAGGCTACAGAGTCTTTGTCTATGGAGATTCTCAGTCATCCAGGCCATGGTTGTCCCAAAAGTGCTTTTTACCGAGGCAACTGGACTTTCTGGTTTTTCTATGAAGACTTTTTGCTTCTCAAAGTGAAGCTTCTTCACTTTGACCCACTATCCAGTCAGAGCTCATCTTAGATGAGAAGCGAAATATCTTCAAAGAAAAACCAGAAAGTCCAATTGCCTCTTGAAAAAGCACCTTTGGGATTACAGAGTCTTTGTACTTGCGATTTTCAAACAGCCTCTGAACTTCCATAATAAGGTTTTCCTCAAGGATAGGGGACAGTAGCAAATACCAATCTATGTCTCTGAGGCTTGAAGAAGAGAGGTGGATTAGCCCAGGGGTTGGTTCTGGACGGCTTTACTGCCACTTCGCTCCTGCCCGTGCATGCACAGTCAGTGGTGAAATTCATTTTTTTTTACTACTGGTTCTGTGGATGTGGCTTGGTGGGTGTGGCAGGGGAAGGCTACCACAAAATCTCCATTCCTTCCCCACTCCAGGAGAAGGATATTGCAAAATCTCCATGACCCCACTCTGGGGTCAGCCAGAGATAGCATTTTCCGGTTCTCCAAACTACACAAAATTTCCACTACTGGTTCTCCAGAACCTGTTAGAACCTGCTGAATTTCACCTCTGTGTGCAGTTCAATTAAACTTGTTCTGCGCATGCACAGAACTTAAAAACAAGATGGCGGTATTGACAGCACCAACCGGAGAACCGGTTCGGGGATGTGGCAGGCCTGGGTCACTGCCAGTTCCAGCAACACACGCCACCATACTACTACTGGTTCGGCTGAACCAGTAGGAACCCACCTTTGGATTATCCCTTAGGTGGAGGCATTTTTTAAGCACAAGTGAGAACCTGCTTGGCGGACTGATTGGGCAGTATAATTGCTTGTTGTGCACACTCTGAAAACAGCACTTTCTATTAGATTGATGCTTATGCTTTATTAATTTGCTTATTTCAATGGGTTTTTTTTTTGGTTTTTTTTTGATACTGCTGTTTATCTGTGTTGAGATGTTTTTTATGAAAGGCAGGATGCACATAAAATGAAACTGGCAAAGGCCTGATACACATTCTTGTCTTGGTTCCTCCTAGGGTCAGCATAAAGCAAGTTCAACCAAAGAAGACATAGAGCCATTCCTATGCATCATATTACCAGCTACTGTGATGCTCTTCCTGGCATTCCTGTTGCTCTTCATCTACAGGCGTTGCCAACGTCGCAATCCTCAGGCTCAGATCTTCAGCATTGATTTGCCAGAGTCCCTTCCAGAGCACGAGGTGACAGATTTTCTGTCTGTGCTGCCCTGGAACAATGAGCAGAGATTCCAATACTCCACTCTCCTGCCTGAAACTGCCTTTCTCACTGTTTGCCTGCCTCCATCATATGAGGAGGCCACCATGAAGGCATCCCTAGAAGAGGACCATGTTCAGCAATTTCAGGAGCCAGTGCCTCCTTACGAAGAGACCAAACAACAATAAGCACACACAAATCCTTTAGGTCCGGCTTCTCACTCTATTATGACTTCTGAAAGCAAAGGAAGAAGAACTCAAAATACAAGCACAATAGAGCTTCAAGGGATTAATTTTAACAGTATCAATTTCAAATGGACCAGATATTGAAATAACTTACCAGGCAACTGTTCTGGGTGAAGGAAAGATTAAATTTGACACTGTGCCTAGGAAATTCCTGAAGTAAATGACATACAGATGTTTTAGAAGGTAAAATTGAAGTGAGTTGGATTGCAACAGCTGTGTTGGAAAGCAACTAGACTGGAATTACACATAAATATAACTGAAAGGGCTTTAACGTTTGTAATGCAGTAATATTTCTTAGAAATTTTATGAATTCAATAAATAATCACGTTTACATATCAAAATGCTACAGATTATACATGACTTTTTAAATGTATCTGGAGAGTAAGGTTTCTGAATGGTACATACAATAAATGTGCGGTCTTTTGGGTGTTCAAGATAAGTGGAAAATTTGGAGATTTAATTATTGGAAGGCACAATAAGATACTTATACACCAATGTGGTGGTTTTTCTGCACTGTGTATAAAATAATTTCATGTTTTTTCTACTTTTAAATAGAACAAATCCTGTAACATTTTAATTTTATATATGATAAAGTTAAATATGGCTACATTAAAAACAATAAAGTATTTAAAATTTTTATTTATTTATTTTGCTTTTCAGGTAGACTACATTTCTGTCACTAGAAAATCAGTCAGTCTGTCTGTGTCTGACTATCATCTATCCCTCCATCCCTCCAGTCCTCTGTCCGTCTGTCCGTCTGTCTTACTTTACAGGTAGATTACATTTCTGCCACTAGAAAACCTGTCTGTCTGTCCGTCCATCCATTCTATCTATCCCCCCATCCCTATCTATCTATCTATCTATCTATCTATCTATCTATCTATCTATCTATCTATCTATCTATCTCTCTATCATCAATCTATTTGCAAGAACAACTTTTCCATAAGGACTGTTCTATCTGAGTAAATAGTCCAGGCATACTCTTGGTGTCTTTCTTTATACACTGTCACCTTACAGGAAATGTGCCTTTTCCCTTGCCCCTCCAGACCACTCTTCCCTTTGAGGTATGGCAGACCTTTATCTTCCTAGCCTTCCAAAAGGCACTGAAGTTTTAACTAAGTGCCGGTGTAGGATAAGGTGACTGTATGCCAGAAGCTTAAGTTTTTGTTTTGTTTTCATATTTATGATTTTAACAGTCTTAATACAGTTTTGAGTTGTTTTATTATAATATTCTTTAATTCTTGATTGGGAGCTTGATATAACAATGGTGACTATATAAATGTTTTGAAATAAACAAGCATTGAATTTTTATCTGTATTTCAACATCATAGTTTTAGATAGGAACCTAAGAAAGAAAGAAAATTGAGAACAATTATCATAGCTAATTTGATCAATAACATATCTATATGAATGTTTAGTTGCAAAGTTTTCATAAGTCAACAGGCAAAGTAATGCTTTAAGTAATATTTATCAACAGGGGCAAACTAATTATTTATCTGATAACTAACATTTTACATAGACATGTTAATAAAAACAAAAACAATTTCTTGTTAAATTAGAATTGTCTATAGGTGAAATGGGCAGCATACAAATCAAATAAGTAAATAAGTAAATAAGTAAATAAATAAATACATAAATAAATAGCTACTGTAATTGATGTGGATGCTTTATTCATATTTATTTTAAAAAATCAGTTATTTCAAGAAGCAATTGCCTGTTGTCATCCAGATAAACATTTTAGGACAAATGCATTCTACATTAAAGAATGAATTAACATCATTATGCTGAACTAGCATTCTACATTTTTAATTAAATGATTGCATTAGTATAACCTCTTTAATACTGTTGTTATAACTATATTGCTTATTTATTTTTAGTAGAAGTTGTTAAGAAATAAGTTGGAATTACACAGGCCAATCCTCTTTAAATTCAAGTCACTTGACTGACATTGCCTTTCTAGTTGGACAGATTATTGCATCAACATAATAAATATTGGAAACCAATAGTTTTCAGACTGTCTTTACTTTCTTCACCTAATAATAGTTTACTTTCTATCCCATCCCAACTTTATATATCAGTGACTACCAAGATCTCTTGCCAATTCACAATAAAAAGATAAACCCATAAAACCAAATTAAAATTAAGTACTTTGAAAATGCATTACAACTATTAATATTGAGAAACTTGCTCAGTGAGTATTTTGAAACTTGGGTGTGTGTGTGTGGAAGAACATAGGAAATTATACAGAAGGTTCTGGATGTGAGATAAAGTCTATACATATGTACAGGTGAAACTCGAAAAATTAGAGTATCGTGCAAAAGTTCATTTATTTGAGTAATGCAACTTAAAAGGTGAAACTAATATATGAGATAGACCCTTTACATGGAAAACTACATAAATTAAATGTAAATTTTTCATAAT